GTCCCTCCTCCCCTCCGCCCCGGGCGGGAAAGGTGGGGAGGAGGAGGGGGAGAGAAAGAGAAAGATTAAGCACTTGGACTTGTCTCTGGAGGGTTGCCAAAGAGAGCAGTCGAATTACAGCCCCTGGGGGAAAAATTAACCAAAAAGAAAAAAAAAGAAACAAGAAAAGAAAAAGAAAAGAAAAGAAAAAAGCCCTACTACCGTTTTCGCAGACATCACTTTTCTTCATTTTCTGGGATTGTCAGGTTTACTTTTCTCTTGGACGTGATCCTTTACCACATGATTTTGAAAAAACAATACCAAAATAATTCTTTTAATTCGACATTTTAGTGTTATACAGAAGCTCTGGAGTAATAATATGTACAAAAAAGGAGGAAGCTCACTGTTTTTCAGGCATCATTACCCTAATCACCTCAGTTAATGTACCATATAACCTTTGCTTAGAGAAAGTAAAAGTGTAAAAGGAGGCAAAGAAGACTAACCTTTGTAATAGCCAGATAAGTGTTTAAAGCTACCAGCTGTGTAGTGAAATTACAACTTCAGTCCAAGGTGCCTAAGATAAACGTCAAAGGCATGAGAAGGGATTTCTGAACACTTACCTCCTTTCAAAGGCAGCCGTTTGTGTTTGCCTATTAACTCCATTAGGTTCTATAATTTGTAAGGACGCACTCTTACATGACTTTTTACAGACCCTCAGATTTACCAGTCACTGGCTGTGTGACCTTGAGAGAATTATTGACCTCTCTGTGCCTCAGTTCCCACATCTGTAAAATGGGGATAATGATGATAGTGCCTACTTCATAGAGTTGCTTCTTGTGATTTAAATAAAATAATGGGTTGGAAAGGCTTAGGAGGTTCCCGGCACCATTATTGGATAGATAAATGTTAGCTATTATTGCTGCTGGTTCCCCCTTTATCTGCTCTTATGCATGCACATGGCTATGGAAATTATAATAAAGACTTGAAACAAAATATGGTTTTGTGCAGTACTTTGAGAACAGTGTTATAGTTGTCTCCCTACGCTGTGCAGTTTATAATCTGTTTTGTAATTTATTTTTTCTTCACAACTGACTTCTATGACCTAAAGCTATGAGACTGGGTTATGCTTGGGGCACATTTACCACGGATGATTTGCAATGGGACTGAAACAGATTTTTGCCATCTTCAAAGCTGGTCTTGCAACCCCCTTGAGAGATCTGCAGAGCAGGTGCTCATTTCCTTTCACAGACAGGAAACAGAGACTCTGGAGGCTGATCAGACCTTTTCCAGTACCCAGGGCTCGCACAAAACCTGTCACCCCATCGTCTCTCTGTGTTGTTACTTTCGATGAAGCGAGCAGGAGCACCTCATGGTACAGCATGTGCCACATTTATGGTGTCTCTTAATCCTGTGAGCTAGGTGCTGGCCCTCATTTGACACAGATTCAAAGAAGCTAACTGATGAGTGTGTTAGTGTCTGACAGCTAGGGTTTAGGGACAACTTGGAGAGGAAGGGAGGAGAATCAGGGTTTCCTGATTCCTTGCAAAATTCTCTCTCTGCTGCTCCACTCCCCGTCCACACTCAGTCATACACATCTTAGCACAGAGGACTTAGTGTAAAGTAATTAGTGAAGCGGTGTGACCTGACCACCAGCTGCAGACTGCCACTTACTAGCTACTCACTCTTAGGCAGATAACAGTCCTGAACTTTGGTTCTTTATCTATGGAATGGATTATTTTATTTCCTGTCCAGCCCATTTCATTGCACCTCAATTTCTTAATGAGGTGGGAGGTGGCTCCTGGAAACAGGAATGTGAAATCTCTTTTGTTGATGCTGTATGCCAAGTGTAACATTAGGCACCTAGCCCACGTTATCATTCCTGATTTCCAAATAAGTGTACTCTGCCCTTCAGATCATTAGAGAGAGAGCTTGAAATCACCCGGGCTGACATGCTGTTTATCTAGTTTATCATGTGTGCCCGGCACTTGGCTCAACTCCTAACTCGTAAGAGATATAAAATGTTCGATGGGTGGATGAATGGATGGATGGATGAAATGACAGCATAAGAGTTGGGAAAATGCTATTATGTAGCACTCCATGTTGTAATATGTACTCTCCCCCTTGAAGAAAAAGAATCCAGTGGAATCCAACAGAATGACTTTCTAATGATGCATCTCCAGTATTAGAATGTGTGTGTGTGTCTGTGTGTGTGTGTGTGTGTGTGTGTGTGTGTCTGTGTGTCTGTGTATAAGCAGTCTTCCTGATGCTATTACTAATATCAGTCAAGGTCAAGGAAGGGAAACAGAAACCACCTAGAATATTTATAAAAGAGAGACTTTAATGCAGGGAATTGTCTCCACAAATGATGGAAGAACCAAGAATCCAACAGGAGACAGTGAGGCAGTTCAGAAATTAACAACAGCTGGAAGCTACCATCACCCCACAGCTGAAGGGGCAGGGAGAGGGGGTGTTATAGATGGAAGCTGTCTGTAGAGGCCAGAAAAGGAACCACTGTCTTAGACATGGGCAGAGACTGGGAGAAATACCCTGGTTTCTCCTTTCCTTCAACCTCCAATCCAGTACCTTCCATGGGATGAACCCAGATGACAGGGAACTTGGAACCCTTAGCCTACAGGGATGTCCCCACTGCCACCCCTGCAATCCTGTGATACCAAGCAGGAGAGGGGTAAGAAGAATCTGACAGCAGCCAGCCTAGACCTAGTGTATCCCTCAAGTCATAGCTTTTCCTTTCTTGAATAAGATTGGGTCTTAAAGGAGTGTTTTTGCCTTTTGAGATCATCTCATCCATTCCCTCATAGAGACCCAGTGAGGCAGACACTATAATCCCTAAATTGCACACAAGGTCATAGCGATTCAGGAAGTTTCAGTGACTTGCTCAAGGCCACACACTGTACGTGGCAGAGCAGGTTTCAAACACGGAGCTCTGCTTGCAGAGCTAATGAAAGGCAGTGCAACCAGACACAGGCCTGTAGAGACTCACATTTCAGGGTCACCGATCCACGCACATATGCGAGTTAATGTTTGCAAAGCCTACAGAGTTAAAAGGTTGGATCATGCCTCGCTTTTATTTTATGACTGCTGGTGATAACTTTTATGGTGTTAATGATGACTGCACTGAATTTATGATCACACAAGATCAGAAATATCACCTCCAGTGGGTTATAGGAGCATCTCAGGAAAAACACATTTTTTTTTAAAGCTATTTCAATTTTCAGATTTGGTTTGAAGACAACCTAGAACATTCTGACTGTGTTAAAGAGTCTGGGGTAAGCGAAGGGACTTATGGCAAAGTTTCATTTAAGGAGGCCAGAAAACCAAGAATGTAAGCAAGTTTGGGGTAGACTGACACGTGCCTTCAAATCCTCTCCAGCCAGGAGTGGCGATCAGACTTGATGCTGTTGCTGGCACTCCCGTCTCTCCAGCCTCTAATCAGCCAGAAGATTTAAAAACCAAGAAGTCATATTAACCTCAAAGAGTGAAAGATAAAAATTAGACACGTTCCTGATTCTTAGTATCTAGTTGAGTTGGATTTAATGATAGGTAAATTTGAGGTCACCGGAAATCCTGATACTTTAGACTATGTCCATTGCTGGTCTGCGACATAATGCCTAAACTTCCCTTTATCAGTAGCCTGGTGGGTTAAGACCTGATGTCCAGGAGGCAAGTGTAAATTCATTATCTATCAAGGATTATAAATATAGTGAAGGATTATCCTGCCCATTATTGGACAAGCACAGTGAGTGCATGAGATTTCTTAAAAAGCTTAATTGCCTGCTGGTAAAGGGGCCCCCAGGAGAGGAGGAGGACCCCAGATACCAACCAGGGTGAGAAGACAGCAAAGAGGAACCAAGAGATGCAAAAAGCATGACAGAAATGTGCCAGGAGAACAGAAACGCTTGAAAATAAGAACTATAAATAGTGCATGGTCACCATCATAACTTTATCTATTCCTTTAATTGCCTGAATGTTCTCAATTTTGATCAATATAGTAAAGTCAAGCTGTGTGTACATGCTTTATAAATACTGATATTTGCAGAAAAAATTAACCAAAGCCAATATTGTTTTATGCAGATGACCTGAAAATCTCTGTAACAGAGAACATTCTCAGTGGTATTATACCAAAATAAAGCAACGCTGGACAACTTATGCTTCTGCTTCAGAATTAGCTCTATTTTCAAGTTCATAGGATAATATACATTTGGCAGCTTTTGAAATTCAGCGTATTTTTTTGAGCTGCTTCTGTATCGGATGTGTTAGAGGGAAGAGCTGCTTCTAACTTTATTTCTCAAAAAACTGATGTTTAGAAGTTCTTCACAGGAAGAGTCCTATGCCCTTGGAGTCATTTGGAAATAGGGGAAGGGTGGTTTTGTTGTCACAGCATAAGGGGGAGTCTACTGGTGCTTAGGTGCCAGGGTGGCTAAACTTTCTGCAATCCGGGACAGTCCCGTACTATAAAGGTTTGTCCCATCTAAAGTACCAACAGCATCTCTTTAAGTGTGCACTGGGAGGAGTCCCTTTAGATCAGGCATCTCAAATTCAAGCTCTTTCAGGAGCCAGCCTGAAAATACGTACTACAGTAAGATTTAAGGTTTTATGCAAAGACGTTTCATTAAAGGCCACTGGAGACACAGGGTCTCCAGAATATTGGTCAGAGGCAGAGCGAAAGACCATGAG